CTACCACTTGAGCCACAGCACCACTTCCGGCTTTTTTCTTTTTGCTTATGTGGTGCTGAGGAATCGAACCCAGGGCCTCATGCTTACAAGGCAAGCGCTCTACCACTGAGCCACCTTCCCAGCCCCATCCCTGGCATTTTTTCTAATTTTTATTGAGTAAGGTAATTATATTTCTTGAAAATATATTTTCTAGAATAATAATTACTGTTAAAATGTGAGAATGCTAGTGGCTCACATGTGTACTAAGGAGGCTGGAGGGATTTGGTTGAAGGTGTACATAGGCAGAAAAGTCCTTGAGACTTTAATCTCCAAAATAATGAGCTAAATGCAGGGGTGGAGACATGGCTCAAGTGGTAGAATGCTAACCAAATAGCAAGCTGAGTGAGCAGAAGGCTCTGTCAAATAAAAATTATGATGAGCTTCATTCGCATTCTCCATTTTACCCAGGTTTAATAAATTTAGATAAAATTATTTTTATAAAGTGCATATTAGTTGCATGAATTGTCATTTGAATATAATCTAGAAGGCTTTGATAATGCAATATGTAAAGCTCATATTTTTCTTTGGTTGGGTATGTGAGTTTATGAAGTAAAGAACATAGTGAAGTTGAAAGCTAGGTGTGGCCCGGTTATGGAAGTCTTGGTCCTAAGTGATAACCACAGCTGTGTTTGAGAGTGTGTACACATATAATAATGTTAGAGGGCTGGGAAGGTGGCTCAGTGGTAGAGTGCTTGCCTTGCATGCATGAGGCCCTGGGTTCGATTCCTCAGCACCACATAAGCAAAAAGAAAAAAGCTGGAAGTGGCGCTGTGGCTCAAGTGGTAGAGTGCTAGCCTTGAGCTGAAGAGCTGAGGGACAGCGCCCAGGCCCAGAGTTCAGGCCCTACGGCTGGACCAAAAAAAAAAAATATGTTGAGACTCTTTGAAGTTTAATTTTGGTAACTTTGCTGTATACTGAATATTACGGCATTTTCTATAGCATACTTTAACAAATGACTTTTCTTTTTATTATTTGCAAAATTTGGGGTATGATTTATGTTTTTCAAGTATAAAGCTTGAACAAATTTCCCGCATTATTTAAGAACTGGCTCCTTTTATCATTGCTGTCTTGTTCTTGTATAAGTCTAAAGAAAACCATAAGAACTTATGATTGATTTGGAGGTGGACACACTTAATCCTAGCTATTAAGGAGCCTGAGATCTGAGAATCAGGTTGGAAGCCAGCATAGGCAGACAAATCCAAGATAAGACAAATCTTATCTCCAATTAACCTGGAAAAAGCAGGTAGGGGAAGTGTGGCTTAAGTAGTAGAGCGTCAGCCTTGAGAAGAAAAAGTTGGGCCAGAGAGTGAGGCCCTGAGTTCAAACCTTAGTACTGTTGCAAAAAGAAAAATGCTTCTCTTAGGTTTCAGACAAAACCTGTCACTCATGTTTGCACTCTGTCTGCTCAACTTCCCCTAACAGATAAGCAATTCCCTCTTGATGCCTCAGTGCTTCTCTACAGAAGCTGTGTTCCTGGGACAGGAATGTTGAAACCCAGTGACTTGAATTTCCTGAATATGGTTGCATATCCCACAGTCCTGGATGTAAAATGTAGCTTTTGTCACTCAACACAAGTTTTTCATGTCTCTCTTCTGTACCAGGTGGTTCTCCTATTCACACAAAAGAACAAGGGGTACCAGAACTTTTGAGGCCTCTGTCATCTATGTGTGCCGATGTGCCTGGACCTGGCCAGGAGTGTCGCGTGTGGGGTCTATGTTCGTGCCAGGGGGGCCTTTGTGTGACCTCTCATCAGTTTTCTTGGGTGCAGTCTGTCTTATGGACTCTGCCTTGCTTTGCTTATGTTTAGCCGTTTCTCTGCTAGCTTTCAAGAAGATTTCTTTACTACACTGCATTTTAAACCAGAAATAAATGAAAAATGAGAGAAGGGAGGAAGGGAGGGAATATAGTGGACTTTTAGATCATTTATTTTAATTTTATTATGCAACAGTTATTTCGAAGACATTCTTTTCAGTAGCCTAGAGTTTTTAACCCCAATGATGTGTATTTCTTACCTTATGAGCTTTTTTGATAAATACAAGCCATCTCCTTCTGTAGAAGGTGAAAAAAAAACCCAGGCACTTGCTTCACAATTGGTTTTATAGGTAAAGAATGAGCATGTGACTTAAGCTTAGCCTTTGATGTGATTGTCCTAAATCAGGCTAGCGATCCCAGGAAATAACTACTGCAGAGCACCTGTTATAGTAGTAGGAGCTGCAGGAGGACTGGATGTCAGAGGTTTCTATTCAAGGGTCAAGATGATGCTGGCAGTTGTAGACAGTGTTCATCAGTACCATAAGAGGTGGCCTTATAAACTCCATGGTGGAATGATTTTGAGCAGCTGCTTAGACTTCCTTGTTCTTGCCATTTGCTAACCCTGGTCCTCAACTTTCTCAGAAAGTCTGTCATTTATTTCTTTAAGTAATTGTTTTCTGTTTAAATTAGCCAAATAAGTTGTTATTGAGAGTAGTTTTATTTTCCAACTGGCCACAAAAAAGCCAGAAGTGAAAGTGTGATAGAGCACAATTGAGAGAAAAAATACTAAGTAAGAGCATGATTTCAGGCCACAGTACCTACACACAAAAGAATCAACTCTTGTAATATGTCATACTCCTTTTTCATTTTCACCATGGTTTAGCCACTACTAGATGTTTTAAGTTCTTAATTACTTCTTTATTAATACAAGAATAAGCAATACGTAGTGCATAAAAGTTGATGAGAACTAAATTCTATGTAATGAAAAATCAATCTGAAATAAAATAATTTATTTATACATACATGGGAATATATTTAGGTGTTGACATGACAAACCTAATTTTGTTAACATTAATAACACGGAACCTGCTTACACAATTGGTATTCTGAACCATGAAAAAATTACTTTGCTTTCTCTTCTGTTTTGCAAGTTTTAAAATAATGGGAATAATCTCCAATGTCTTTCTTAGCCTTAGCTTTTGATGAATCCATCAAATGTAACTTTTTTCTTTTTAGAATTTCATTGTTAGTATAAAGATGAAATACAGGCTGGGCACCAGTGGCTCACGCCTGTAATCCTAGCTACTCAGGCTAGAGATCTGAGGATCACAGTTCAAAGCCAGCAGAAAAGTCTGAGAGACTCTTACCTCCAATAAGCCACTAGAAAACTGGAGGTGGCACTGTGGCTCAAGTGGTAGAGTGCTCACCTTGAGCTGAAGAGCTCAGGGATAGCGCCCAAGCCCAGAGTTCAAGCCCCACAAGAGACAAAAAAAAAAAAAAAAGATGATATACAGAGATGTTACAGTTATGCATGTCAGGTAATGAGTACATTTCTTTTTGGACAATGTCACCCCTTCCCTTGCTCTCTTCCAGCTTTCTTTTAAAGTTAGAATATGAGCAGTAGTTGTGATGCTTCATGGGACAGAAAATATAGGGTTCTTTGCTTTTTTGCTCCAGGCTAGTGGTTTTCTATTTGAACCATAGCTCCCACTTCCAATTTTTAGTGGTTAATTAGAGAGAGAAGTTTCACGGACTTTCATACCCAGTTTAGCTTTGAACCATGATCTTTGTATCTCAGCCTCCTGAGTAGCTAAGATTATAGGTGTGATCCATCAGAGCCTGGATGTCATAAATGTTTTTTAAAGTTTTACTTTTATTAATAGACTAACACTTCATAACCACTAAACACTACCCTGTTATTGGTGTTTAGTGCTTTATTTGGTACATGGATCATAGGTACAAAGCACACACAATGATAGGCTTTTAAAAAGAATATACTGTGGTCTGTGTCCCCAAAATTCATAGGTTGAAGTACTAACCCCTGAGGTGAAGGTACTAGTTGGTGAGGATATTTGAGAGTATTCGTGACTCTGACTGGTACTCTTGTAAAAAGAGATCCGGGAAAGTAGTTAAGCCTTGGCCAGGTAAGGATATAGCTGTAGGGAGCTGCTGAGAGGCCGCACCTGGAAGATGGTGCCGGCTTCCGCCCTTCTTTTTTTTTTCTTTTTTTTTTTTTTGTCAGTTGTGGGGCTGAGTCCCCGTACGGCCCACCACGTGTCGCTACCGCCTCGACCAGCAAGGAAGACGCGACACCGAACTCTTCTCTCTGCAGTTTATTCAGGACCTTTGAGCAATCTTCTGACCCCAACCCTGGGGAGAATTCCCCACAGACTTAAGTACCCGCTGGGTAGCCAACCCTGATACGCCACGTGGGAACCACCAATAGGTTCAGGTGCGTGGAAGCAAGCCAGATTCTTTGCCTTAGCCATATAAGGAGTTGTTTACCACAGAGAGCACTCGCCATCGGGAAGGCGAAGGGCGGAAGCCGGCGCCATCTTCCAGGTGCGGCCTCTCAGCAGCTCCCTACATATAGCGAGAAGTCATTATCAGTGACCAAGGAACTAGGCCCTGACCAGCCATTGAATCAGCTGGTACCTTGATTTTGGACTTCATAGCCTCCAGAACTATGACAAGTAATTTTCTGTTGTCAGTATACTCATCATATCATCTTTAACAAGCAATCCTTAATAAAAAGACAATTTTATGTGACACAAAATCCCTCAGAAATGAATACCTAAAGATGCAGGAAAGATTGTTCATTTTTATACTTAGATTTGGTAAAGAATGGGCATCCATATAGAAATGGTATTACCTAGTGGTAATAGACTGAGAGGGTAAACCCAGAAAGACTTCTATTTGGGGATTCTTGGCCTTTGTGGGCCATTCTTTCTTCTTGGCTATGGGACAAGACTTCTGTAAGAAGGGTTTCATCATCTACTATCAGATAATGTAGATCGAATCTACACTGCTTTTCTTTTTTCCTTTTTGTGACTAGTTCTTATATAGAAAGATGAGATGGGAGGAGGATATCAAAATTACATTTCTAGGTTTTGTAGCTGATTTGAGTTTCTGTCATCTGCCATGGGAAAGAGAAGTTCCAGTTTTTCTTACCTGCTTTGGGGGAGAGCCATAGAAAAGAATGCAAGAATGCATGAGGCCCTGGGTTCGATTCCTCAGCACCACATAAGCAAAAAGAAAAAAGCTGGAAGTGGCGCTGTGGCTCAAGTGGTAGAGTGCTAGCCTTGAGCTGAAGAGCTGAGGGACAGCGCCCAGGCCCAGAGAATTAGGCCCCAGGACCTGACCACCCTCCCTCCCCCCCCCCAAAAAAAAAAAGAAAAAGAAAAGAATGCAAGAGAAGGTCAGAGAGAAAATGCTTTTGAGGCCTGTAAAATTCAAAATACTGAGCATTACCAAAGTGATATACTTTCAGGCAAAGTTTTCTGTGCCAAATATCAATTACCTGATTTATGGTATTCTGTTTTAGCCACTTGAATTGGCTTAAAATAGAAGATTTTGTGAACCAAGGATTGTACTTACTACGTAAATGCTCTACTACTGAACTAAATCTCCAGCCCTTAGTTGTTGTTGTTTTTTTTTTTTTTCTGGGTCTGGTCGTGAGGCCTGAACTCTGGGCCTGGGTGCTGTCCCTCAGCTCTTCAGCTCAAGGCTAGCGCTCTACCACTTGATCCACAACGCCACTTCTGGCTTTTTTCTTTTTGCTTGTGTGGTGCTGAGGAATCGAACCCAGGGCATCAGGCATGCAAGGCAAGCGCTCTACCACTGGGCCACCTTCCCAGCCCCTTGTTTTGTTTTTTTTTGAGACAAGAGTTTCACCAGCCTTAAACACCTGACCCTTCTCCTCATGAATGCTAGAATAATAGACATGTACCATTATGTCCAGCTCTGAGATTTCAGGAATATATATAGGTGATCTACTAATATAACTAACATTGCTTGGGCAATAAATGTAACATTTCTGTAGATTCTAAGTAGATTTTACCATCTCTGTGCTCCTTGTTGATTTCCTTAGAAGGGTGAAATGCAAAGAAAGAGAAGATAGAAGTGTTGACTAAGAATATTGCTTGGTCATATGAGCATGATTCAGTGACAATCTTTTCAAATCATTAATTTATCTTCTCTTGGTTTTAAAATTCAAGTGTGTTTTTGTGCTAAATCATTCATTATAGATATAGTGTTTTTAAAATTAGAATTCCTTAGAAAAATTTGTGAAATATATACTAAAAATACTTGTAAGATCATTTTCATGTTTTCCTTTTGGAAAATAGTACTATGATCACTATGTTTTGGGGTTTTAATTTCAGATCTGTATTTAACTGAGATGACAATCATGTTAAAGACATTTCTTGGATAATTGTGTATTTTGCCCTCACTTCCTTTCTAGGAGCAGGGTTCTGATCAAGCAGGACAGGAGAAAGCAAAAGGTAGGCAAAATCTATTTTTATTATGTCAGTTGTATGCAATAGTCACCTTCTGAAACATTTTTCATCATTTATAGTAACTCTGTCTAAGTACAGTTGAAATATTACCTTCCTTTAGTCTTCTCCATCTTTACAGGTACCTTGATAAGCTCTCCACTTTGCTCAGGTGGAAACTTAGAAACAATTCTTGATTCTTACTATCTTGCTAGTGTCAAGATGATAATCTGATGATATTTCACTACCCATAGAATTAGCACTGTAATTTCAGTTGCCTAGAGTACTGTAATGCTCTCATTTCCCATATCCCACTCCCACTTAGTTTTTCCATTTGTCTGACTGCATAATATATTCATGTGTGCATAGCACCTGAGCAGTACATACCTGAGAGAAACTTGTATTTATTTATGTACTTGGAGATATGGTAAGGTTGAATCACTGTTATTGCCAAAATACTAAGCGAAAGGAGAAAGAAGTTGTTCATGGGGCGGGAGGAGGAAAGGAAAACAAGCCAAATTTCCATTAGTGGTAAAATTAATTCAACAGAAGGTGTTCTATCTGAGTAATAATAGAGCAGTAAGAAGGTTTTAATTATATGTAGGAAGTATGTATCACTTTTAACTAGGTAATGCTGAGCAAACGAAGGAACTCACAGAAAGATTCTTTTTATAAAAAGTATTAAAACAGGGCGGGTGCAGGTGGCTCACGCCTGTAATCCTAGCTACTCAGGAGGCTGAGATCTGAGGATTGTGGTTCAAAGTCAGCTTGGGCAGGAAAGTCCAGGAGACTCTTATCTCCAATAAACCACTTGAAAACCAGAAGTAGCACTGTGGCTCAAGTGGTAGAGCATTCGCCTTGAGCTAAAGAGCTGAGGGACAGCGTCCAAGCCCAGAGTTCAAGCCCCACGACCGACAAAAAAAAAAAAAAAAAAAAAGATGCCATCCTTATTGAACGCCAAGTAGGTATTAAAGATAGAAAACTTGGGGGCTTGAATCTAGTCATTTTAAATAGCTTAAATATTAAGGTTTATTTTAGATGAACAGAAAAGTAATTACTCTAAATACAAATACAAATTGTTGGGCTGGGATGGTGGCTCAGTGGTAAAGTGCTTGCCTTGCATGCATGAGGCCCTGGGTTCGATTCCTCTGCACCACATAAGCAAAAAGAAAAAAGCCGGAAGTGGCGCTGTGGCTCAAGTGGTAGAGTGCTAGCCTTGAGCTGAAGAGCTGAGGGAACAGCGCCCAGGCCCAGAGTTCAAGCCCCACAACCAGACCCAAAAAACAAAACAAAAAGACAAAAAAGAAATACAAATTGATTTTTTTTTTGGTCAGTCTTGGGCTTGAACTCTGGGCCTGGACGCTGTCCCTTGGCTCTTGAGTTAAAGGCGAGCGCTCTACCACTTGAGCTACAGCACCACTTCTGGTTTTCTGAGTGGTTTACTGGAGTCTCACAGACTTTCCTGCCCGGGCTGGCTTTGAACCACGATCCTCAGACACATCCTGAGTAGCTAGGATTACAGGCATGAGCCACTGACACCCAGCTAATACAAATTCTTTATCTTCCTGGATAGGAAAAAAACTGAACCTTACTTTTTGTTAAGCATAGTCCTTTGTCCTTGCTAGGAATGCAGAGTTTAGAAGCCAACTTGATAACTAGAGTATGGCGGACAAGCCTCCTTTGTAGTATTCTCTGGAATAAAGGCTTACTCCCTTTACAGGCAGTCTTTCAATTGACAGTGTTTCAATTGTTCTTACTTATTCTTGGAAACATATGTCTCTGTCTTCTCTTTTGCTAATTCTTATTCACTGTCCAAATTTTAGAAATTACTTCTCAAGAAACCTTTTCTGTCTTTCTTCCATTTCTTTGCCTACCATCCCCCAATTTGTAATTTACATGTTCTTCCTGATAATGTTATACCATCCCCCCACACTTAATTGTAACTGTGTTACTGTTGTCCTCACTGTTATTTTATCCATACCAAAATACAGTGCCTTTAGAAAGAACATTTAAATTTTATGGTACCATCATTATATGAACTAACATTGTTTCAGTATTTGCATCCTAAAGTTCCTGTTATTTTATTGCTGAAGCATGCATATATGGTATGATCTTTGTGTGTGTCTGTGTGTGTGTATGTCTGTGTGTCTTGGGGCTTTAATTTAGGGCCTGGGTACTGTCCCTGAGCTTTTTATTCTCAAGTCTAGAACTCTACCACTTGAGCCACAGCATACCATTCCATCTTTTTGGTGGTTAATTGGAGATTTGAGGATGGCTATTCAAAGCCAGCCCTAGAAGGAAGTCTGTGAACCTCTTATCTCCAGTGAATTGAAAAAAAAAAGCCAGAATTGGAGCTATGGCTCAAGTAGTAGAGCTCTATCCTTGAGCAAAAGAAACTTAGGGACAGCAGTGCCCAGGCCTGAGTTTAAGCCCTAGGACTGGCACTAAAAAAAAAAATAGCCTTTACTTACTGAAAATATGCTATATAACCATTTGGAAATGTAACCTTTTGGCACTAAATCTTTTGCTATCTCAAATTCTTCTTACTTTTGATAACTTACATATATGAGCTAGCTTATACCATTGTATTGTAGGGACAGCAACTTTTTTTGGGGGGGGGTCCGGTCGTGGGGCCTGAACTCTGCGCCTGGGCACTGTCCCTCAGCTCTTCAGCTCAAGGCTAGTGCTCTACCACTTGAGCCACAGTGCCACTTCCGGCTTTTTTCTTTTTGTTTATGTGGTGCTGAGGAATCAAACCCAGGGTCTCAGGCATGCAAGGCAAGCGCTCTACCACTGAGCCACCTTCCCAGCCTCATGGACAGCAAGATTTTCTAAGATGATTTTTTTACAGTGTCAAACATTATCATAGTTGCTCAATAAATAAAAGCTAAATAGAGGCTTCTGAATTTTGTAAATGAAGGGTATAATCTGACAAAAGGAAACCAATGAAGATAAAGAGTAACAATTATAGCTAAAACAAGAAAACACAAACTGGATGCAGAGTGATAATTTTGAACAGGTGTGGTTTAAAAGAACTAGCAGTTAGGAGAGTTGGCAAAGCAAACTAAGTTGGCACTAGTTACAGATTCATTCTTACACAACGCTTTTTTTTCTCATTTCAGTTGACTGTTAATAGCACTATGCTGGGCAGATCTTTAAGGTATTGTGTATCACTAGGGAGGCATGCTTTTCAGAAAAGCAAGTTTTTATCTTACAAGATTTCTTATTTTGTTACTAAATGTCTTTTTAACTTTGTACATACAGATAATTTCAAATTTTTGATGCGTAAATAATAGCTATTTAAAGTTCTATTTTAAAGGCAAATTTTAACAGAAAGATTGTAAAAGATAGGAATTTTAAGAGTAATAAGCAAGCTAAAAAGTAGCATTGATTGATTTAAATTTGTATGTAACAGGTGCTGTCACAAAAATATGAAAAAGTCAATAATTTTTTGTTATTTGTGATTCTGCCTTAAACCACTTGATGTACATTAATTTTAATTTTAAATATTTTAGGAATATTTTGAGAGGAACAGGTTAAAATCAAAAATGAAATTACTGGGAGTTTTGCCTCCTGCCAAAAATTCTACTGTCAGTTTAGATCTTCTGAACCTCTACATGGTAAATCAGATATCATGCAAGAAGAAGATACCTGGTAAGTCCATAGCATTTTATTTTGAGCTTGATTTGTAATAACATTATCTTTCTAATTAGTTTGAAATTTTAGACCTCAAAGCTGTGGAAATTTAATTTAAAAATTTAGCTCTTAATTAGCTCAATTATATTTGCTTAAAATACATTTTTTTAGAGTTCAAGCCCCATGACTGACAAAAAATTTTAAATTCATTTATTTTATTGTTAAGCTGTGTACATATTATTTAAAATTAATTTATTAGATGTCATTTAATTTCTAAGATGCTGAATCATCCAAGTGTAGCTTGACAGCAGAGAAAAATAAATGTGTTTATACTATTTAAGAAATTTGTTTAGAAGTTATATCTGAAAAGACTTTTTTTTTCTGTCGGTCGTGGGTCTTGGGCCTGAACACTGTCCCTCAGCTCTTCAGCTCAAGGCTAGCATTCTACCACTTGAGCCACAATGCCACTTCTAGTTTTCTGAATGGTTTGTTGGAGATAAGAGTCTCACAGACTTGCCTGCCTGGCTTTGAACCATGATCCTCATATTTCAGCCTCCTGAGTAGCTAGGGTTACAGGCGTGAGCTGCCAGCAGCTGGCTTGAAAAGACTTTTATCTCAATGACTGGTTTCCTATCTTACAACTTGAACTTCTTCTTACACATTCTTTTTTTTTGGTGGGTCCTGGGGTTTGAACTCAGGGTCTGGGTGCTGTGTCTGAGCCTCTTTGTACTCAAGGTTAGCACTCTACCTCTTGAGCTACAGCACCACTTTTGGTATTTTCTAAGTAGTTTATTGGAGATAAGAGTCCCATGGACTTTTCTGCCTGGGCTGGCTTTGAATCGTGATCCTTAGAACCCCGTCTCCTGAGTACCTAGGATTACAGGTATGAGTCACCAGACCCTGGCTTATCTGCAGTAGTCTTCTGTTTCAAAATAAAATTTATTTTGTCCTATACTTTGGTTAATTAAAAAGAAAATTAGAATATCCTTTCCCTCTCTTAAGAAAACTTGTATCTAATATTGAATTTTTAAAAGAAGTACAAAAATGATAGCTTAAAAATAAACCATCAGGAGAGAAATTGATCACTATAGTAGTATCTCCTTAATATCTTTTCTCAAAATTTTTTCTAAGTTATGTGATTTGCTTTGGAGAGAACAATGGAAACTAAAAGTGATATTCTTGCTTCCAACAGGTTTTTCAAATGCCAAGGTATCATTTTAGGGATACTACCCTCATGTTCTTTTCATCCATATGTTTATCCAGTTATACAACACATTCATTGACTACCTATGATAAGAATTGTATTTGGGTACTGAGAACAAAATAGTAGTACTTTATCGGGACTCATAGCTGCTAATGACTGAAATCAAAAGCAGAAATACAGTTACTCATTTAATTTAAAGGAAGAGTGATAGTGCAGTGGTGGGTCTCAGGGATAACTTTAATCAGGAATTTGAATGTTACTAAGATTCTTTTGAAAAGAGTAGCTTTATTCTCTCATTGTTTTCATCATTAGGGTTTAAAACTTTGTCTTAGAAATTAATATTGCTTACCTTAATTAATTAATATTGCTTAAGTGTGCCACCAGAAGAAGACTGCAGATAGGTTCTCTGGATTTAAGATTTTTAATTCTGCTAGAAAGATATTCTCTTTTAGTATTGGATATCTAGTTTCAGTAGTGAAACCATTTCACTTATAATCAGTGGTAAGCATTCTATTATTGGTTTCTCTTTCATCAAATTGCTACCTCCAAACCAAAATTTTATAGGCTGACAGAAAGTCTCCTTTAGAACCATAGTTAGACTGGTTACAAAAAAACATTTTCCAGGAAAAGGAAGTTTGAATACAGAACAGAGAAAAACATTTGGCATGAGAGCATTTTAGCTTATCTATATAGAGACAAGGCTAGTAAAAAGTTTAAAATTTACTGAGCTAAAGCTCATCAGGTATGATAACGTATACAAACATGCTACACCAGAAAAGGCTATGAGAATATATATCACAAAATCCAGTGTACTTGAGGGAACAGGATAGGCTTGCAGGAACAAACAAACTGCAATGAATTCATAGGACTCTTTTCTTGAGGTTAGGTAAGGTGACAAAGACAAAGATGTTTTCAATGATGTGTGACAGTCATGCATGCAGCATCACTGTGGTATAGCATATGTGTTTTTGTAAAGGATTTCAGGTGCACATTTATCTAATGAAGATGATATATTAATATAAAAACTTTAAAGCATTTCATTCCAAATTTTAATTTTTATTTAACTTTTTTTTACTTACAGAGACTGTGAAGAAACCAGTCCACGTGAATATGAATAGAGACATAAAAATTCCTCTAAGAAAGCACGATTTAGAACTTCCAATGTCACCTAATTGTACACCTTCTAAACTCTGCCTTGATGATACAGAAGACAAGTGAGTTTTGGCTGAGTGAGTGGCTTACATTGTTAGGTATTTAAACTGGTTATTATCAACATTTTTTGGAGGATGGGAGGCAGTACCAAAGATTGAACTCAGAGTCTCATGCCTGCTCAGCTGGTACTCTACTAATTTAGCCATGCCTCCAGTCCTGCTTTGTTTTCTGGTTATTTTGGAGATGAATTCTCAAAGATTTTTCTGCCTGGGCTGGCCTCAAACCAGGAGTAGCTAAGATTACAGGTGTGAGCCCCCACTAACCTGACTTTAACTTGTTCATCGGAAAAAAAATGTATAAGGGTTTACCTTTAAGCTTCACTTTTTGTTTGTCTTATATTATGGAAGAATTAGGACCTTTATCAAAGGTATTTTGTATACATACTTTATTTTCCTTATGATAAAGTGATTATTCTCATAGTAATATGATTTTTATGAAAGCTCAATAATGTTATGATCCTGGAAGGATTTACTGTTTTGTGTGCTGGAGTAGAACACTATGCATTTTAGGTAAATAAAGATGAATTCTATTATACTTATAGTTGTAACCTTAAAGTTTTCTTTCCCTTAGTATACACTCTCGGGAACTGGGTAGCAAGGAAAAACATGACCCAGTTCAGGTAAGTTTTAACATTTTAATTGTAAGTTGTTTTAACAATTGTGATATGTCAATGAATGACCTGAATTTTTCAGCATTGGGAAAAATTAGTTTTATCCTTTGAAAAAAACCTTTTATAGTCTTTTCTGTTTTTTCCTAGGCAGAACGGGAGTTTGATCAGGGCCTTTTGCTTGCCAGGCAGTCAGCCACCAGAGCATATTTCTAGCCATTTTTGCTTTCTTTAATTTTTGAATAGAAATTAAGTCTTGTTTTTTGGCTGGGCCAGCCTGAGCTGGAGTCCTTCTGTTTGAGGTTCCCATATATCTGACATGACAGGTATGTGCCACTATGCCCAGGGTTTTATTAGTTAAGATGGGTCTTGTAAACTTTTTTCCATGATGCTTTGACCTATGTAGCTAGGATTACAGGTGTGAGCAACTACCCAAGCTACAATTGTTTTAAGCAAATAAAATTTTAACCAATTAGAAAATGTGTACATTAAGAATAAAGTTGGAAATTTTGTTTAATTTCCTACCCTTGAATTGCTAGAGTTAAACTAAATAAGCAAGGCGATGGCAGTGACAATAATCCCTTAAAAATATTGTCACTTGAATTATGAGTTAATGACAATCATTGTTTTTGGGGGGGGGTCATGGGGCTTGTACCTCAGATCTTCAGCTCAAGGCAAGTGCTCTACCACTTAAGCCACAGTACTACTTCTGGTTTTCTGGTGGTCAATTGGAGAGAAGAGTCTCATGGACTTTCCTGCTTGGGCTGGCTTTGAACCGCAATCCTCAGATCTCAGCCTCCTGAGTAGCTAGGATTACAGGCCTGAACCACTGGTGCCCAGAGATAATAATTTCTTATATCAAAGGATGACGTATAGCAGGCGTGCCTGAGGGTAGAGGAGAAAGATGGGAAAGGCAGGGGGAAAGGATTGCTAAAAGAAAATTTTACATAATTACCAGTCTCATATTAGCAAATTCTACCATTACTGATGTCTTAGCTTTCCTTGGACTCTTATAAACCTATGTCTTTCTTTCAGTTTAGTTCTGCTATTTTAAGTTGTTCAGTTTATGTATTTTAAATGATTTTTAAACCATTTTTTCTACAGTTGTCGCAGCACATGACATACAGTGTGTTTGAACCGCAGTTCCATAGAACAGAAAACTACAGTTACCCCTCATCATCTTTTTGTGCAGAGTTGTCTTCTAACAGACACAGTCCAAGGCAGACGTGTACTCCTGGAGTAGCACCAAGTCCTTGGGAAGCTGCATATGAAAAAACCCAAAATGAGCAGGTACCTTGGAATCACTAGTTCTTATCTATTATTATATTGTTAGGGTATATTCTCTCATCTCATTTTACAAACTTGAAAATTATAAGTTTCAAATTTCTTCTTTTTTATTGTGAAAATACTGTACAGAAGGGTTACAATTACATGAGCAAGGTAATGAGTACATTTCTTAGCAAGCATTGTTGCCTCCTCCTTTGTTTCCCCTTCCCATCCCTTCCCATCTCCTGCCCCCAGTCCCTCTTGCTCCCGCCCCAAGCACCAAAGTTGTAAAGCTCGTTTTTCGACCTAACGTCTTGTACATCTCATTGTTGCAATGGGTCCACCTATATCCCTGTTTAAACAATTTGTTTTTTCCCTTCCCCTCCCCAAATTATACCAACATCAAATACAGTGAAAACAGGGGTTATACAGTGGGGGAGGGACATACAAAGCAACAAAAAAATAATCTCATAAATATGTTAGAAACAATAGCAAGAAAGAAAAAGAAAAGTTTCAAATTTCTACAGATAAAATCAAATTAGAAGATAGATTGAGGTTAATAATTTCTTTTTAATCAAAATTTAATTCTTTGTACAGTGATAGATTGTGAATCCAAAAACAGAGAGGTTCTTTAAAAGCTTTGGAAATGGTCATTTGTTTAGAAAATTATTGCTAGCCCAGTTGATAATTCTTGAGTGTGTTTTATTGTACATGTTTACAATCACTGTAATGACTAGTTGGGATGTCATGGTGATTCATTCTGTATGATATACTGTCCCAGTGGTGTCAGAGTCTCCTAAGGGATAATTTTGATGGCCTGATTCTTTTCAGGGTTTGAAAGATGATAACTGATTATGTAACCCTTCAATTAATAGTTTATGTAGAAAAATGTTGTGTTCA